CGACACATTTTCACAAAATTTTTCAAATGGGGTATCCCAACTCAACCACACGTGCCAATAGCCTACACTAACCCTCTGACCATACTCGATGGACTCTTGCGGACTCGTGCAACATACCAGAAACAACTAGAAACACTTATTTCACAAAATCAACACTCAATCCCAATTTTCACAAAACGAAGGAGGGAAGGAAAAGTTGCATAAAATCAACCATTTCATTTATATTTCTCAAAAATACATATGTTCATACTTGCACAAGTATTTTGGCCCTATCCTTAGGTTCACAACCAAAAACTCACTAACTCAGGACACAAAATACACTAGTTAAACACAAAATCATACAAGTAGTACACCAATCATGACAATTAATCTTAGTTAGCAATTACATTAACAAATACGCATATAAATAATAAAAGAGAGGCATATCGAGGATTTACTCCACCAATTCTAAGCCTCAATATGTTTTCCCTCACTTAGATCCAATGAGCTGGGTCCTGAAAATATTGAGAATTGAGGGGTGAGTACAACCACTCAGTAACCAAGTTTTACTTAACCCTTACAGTTATATATTAATTGTAAATGGATGCAAATAGGCACATAAACACATATTTCACATAGCATTAAGCCATAGTTCACAAAACTAACAATCATGTGACCGAATTTGTCACAAAAACTATATCATGTTATTTTCAAAAACATAACTCAGGGTCATAAAAATAACAACCATGCACCCTTAACACTCGCAGAACCACAAAACTAACAACCATGTGACCGGACTTATATGCATGATCATATGCCAATCTTATATCCTCATGTTACCTTCGACACAAAACCGATGGCTATCACGTGACTACATCTTTCACAGACTAACCCAGCCTTTCACTTATAAGGAGCTATCGGGCCAGGGTTAACTCACTTACTTATATAATCCGATTTTCCCTAATACTAATAATCATGAGGTGTTGTACCCTTAATCTAGCCTCCTCATGAATCGGTAGAGACTAGTTAGGTTTAAATCCCTATAGAACAAGTGGGACAGTCTCGAAACAACCATGGGACAAGGGCTACCTCCCGATTCCAACGGTCAGTGCCAAGGCTAATTCTCAATTCCAACGGTCACTATAAATACCACGTAGATTTCAACCAATCTAGTTTTCTCCCTAGGCAAACTCCCGCCAATGATCATGCTATGTATATTTCACACATAATATGCATTTAACAATCTTTTCTCAGCACATGAACTCACATAACACAAATGCTCTACACTTTAGCACATATTTCATCATAATTCTCCACCCCTATTCATAAATCACAATTAATTTCACAAGACATTAAGGGTGGTAGAAATCAAGGTTTTCTTTCAAAAGAAACCAATTCACAATCATGCACTTGCCAACATGCATCATCAAATAAACTATAAAACACATTTTCACAACACAATTAACATATAAATATAAAAATTAAGTTTCCCTCAGTTACTTCAAACTTTTGAGAGGTCAAAGGTTTACCTCTCACTATATTAACTTTCTCAAGCTTCAATGAGCTTGAATGGTGCCAAGATGAATTTCTCTACAACCATATCATAAGGATATCATCATCATCATCTAACTCTTTAAGCTTTATCAATATAAAACTCCTTATACACTATTTTAACCGACTCATAATTACTACCCACTCATACCCAATGGGCTCATTAGATTCTATTAATACACATTATCATTAATAACACCTCAAACCATCATTAATGCACATTAAGCTCTCCTAACTACCTTATAAATACCAATTTCAGATATTAGATGCTCCCATGGACCAACCACTTCTAAAATTATCAATGTGGTATCCTAATACATTAAATCACTCTCATTAATCTCATTTTAATCAATAAAATTGGACTCATACTCTTATGGACCAAAATCCATCTCCCAACTCAAACCCTAACATAAATAATCATAAATGAGGGAGAGAAAAGAAGAAGAAAGTACCATGATCTTACCTTGAGTGTTTGGGAGCTTTAATCTATCAATAATGGGACCAAAAGTCATGCCCTAACAGAGCCAAAATGAAGACGAGCTTTTCATTTTCTTCCTCTTCTCCTTATATTCTTTTCACACAAAAATAAATCAAATATATTTGATTTTTAGTTGTGCGCCGCGGCGCACGCTGCCCTCTGCAACGGTGCATGGCACAGAGGAGCCCGTTACATTTAAATTGTGTTCGTGTGCCACGATGGACCAACCATGCACTGCGATGTGTGACACAGAACACAACTCTTCACTTTTTCCTCCTCTTTCCTTGCTCAGGTGGCCCGCCATCGATTCAAACCCACTTTTAGGGCTGAAATCATAACAATTTATGCCAAGTTAAGTTCCTCTAGCCACACGCCTCATTAACTCACTAACTACTCTCATTAAGTTAATAAATCAGGGCTAAAATTTTTTAGATGTTATAATAATCCTCATGATAAACACACAATTCACATTATAATTAATATATAACTATCTAAAGCAGAGTTCCTCGGTTACCTCAAATCTTTGAGAGGTTAAAGGTTTACCTCTTAACGTTATAGTTTCAAGCTTGAATTGCCAAGCCAAATGGGTGACCAAAAGCTCAATTTATAATTTACTAGGTTAACTTTCATTAGCATTGTTAATCTCATACATTTCAACTATAATTTTTCCATTCTAGATTACTCAATGCCCATATTATTTATATTTGGCCTACCCATTGGGTTTATTAATTATCTTTAACATCATATAGCATCATTGAATACCCACATTGCCATTAATACCTCAATAACCACAATAATGATAGATTAAATGTCAATTTTTAGACATTAATAGAGATCATCATCCAACAACTACCAATATCATTAATATTAGGTTTAAATACTCTAAACAACTCCCATTAACTCTATTTGAGTCAATGGGTTCTAACCCATACTCTATATGGACTGAAATCACCATCCTCATCTAAACCCTAACTCAGATCCTTAAGAAAATGAAAGAGAAAAGCAGAAAAAGGGTTTAAAATCTTATCTTGGATGATTTGAAGCTTTAAACCTTCTCAAATCCTCTCCTAGATTGTGCTCTAGCAGAGAAAATGCGAGTTTCTCCACTTCCTTCCCTTTCCTTTATGTTTTCATATCAAATCTTAACTAAATTCTACAAACTCTGCATTGTGCGTTACGGCACCTATCCCTACGCACTGTGGCATGTGGTATAAAAAAGACAGCTCTCACCTGATGGCCCTGTGTGTTGCGGTGCATCACACATGTGTCACGACATATGACACAAAGGCTTTTTAGCTTGTTTTTTCAACCTTTTGGTCCTCAAGTGACCCAATTTTACTTTGGGCCAAACTTATACTTGAAATTCCAATTAAAAACACTTATTATTCTTCTCTGACCACACACCACATCACTTACTTAATTATCGTAATCAAGCTTAATAAATCAAGAAATAGAAATCAGGATGTTACGTCAATGGCCAAATTTGATCATTCAAATGATGGAAATCTCGTTAATACACATATTACATGGTATTTAAAAATGTACGTGAACCTTTTTTTTATTTTTAAATTGTAAACAAATATATTTGAAAGATGATGAAGGGAAGAAAATAAGTTTGGTCTAATCCAAATTTTGACTAGACAAGCCCAGCATATTTATGTAAATAGGCATAATTATAAATTTAAGCTTAGCATGCCAAAATTTAAACAAGATAAGCTCTATATATTTGCAAGCCAGCATATTTAACAAAAAAGTTGATTATATTAAAATTAATAAATAAGCCTGTAGAAACATACAATATGATCTATTTAAAATTTGGCCTAACTTATTTAACAAAAAGGCCAAACTTAAATTTATGATTAAGCATATTTGTATAAATAAGTTAGGCTTATTTAACCAAAGTTTGTCTTTCAAAATATACTTTTTAATATTTAAAAATAAACCATTTACAAATACTTTTAAAAGCCTGTGATGTGTGTATTAATGAGATCTTGATCACTTGAATAGATCAAATTTGGTTGTCGTTAAGGAATATCGGTATTGAGAGGATTCAGTTCCCTAACATGCAACCTATTATTGAACAAGAGTACTCCCTCCAATTTTATTTGTACGATACCTTTTAAAAATATTTTTTTATTAAAAATGTATGACATCTTGTAATATTTAACTGCTTTTATCACTTTTACTCTTTCTTAATTAACATGAAAGTATTTAATGTAATTATATCATTATTTAAAGTTAAAAATAAAAATAGAAGTATATCTCATTTTTTTATAATATCATTAAAAAACTAATATTTTTTAAGATGTGGGAAACGACTAAAAGTGTCCCAAAGGTAATATTTCTTTAATTCAAAATCTTTAGGAAAATGAGAGTTAGGTTATAAGAAAATTAATTAATTTAAGTTAAATTTTAACCAATTTAGAGTACTAATAAAGTCACTTGTTTAGTTGTTTCTTACTAAAATATAAAATCTAACACCTTTATGGACTTGCAAGTTTGGATATTAATTTTGCAATATCATTGTTATGAATTTATAACCAGTTTTTCGAAATTTAATAGGTTTGAAGAATAAACAATATTTTCATCAAGCCTTTTATTTTTCAACATTAAATATAAATATTTTTGTTCTCTATTAAAATTTAAAAAATAAATTATAAACACATCATAATAAGATTACAAATTTAGGAACTCAACTTACAAATCCTTAGAACTATTAGGCTTAATATTTTTTAATATTAAAACTGAATATTTGTGTTTTCAATTAAAATTTAAAAAAAAAATTACAAATTTATGATAATAAAGTTATAAATTTAAAAGATAAACTTATAAATTTATGAAATTATTAAACTTATTTTTTGGTTTGATATAGTTAAACTTAATATTTTATTATTAAGCATCAAGAGATTTTGTTAACAATCTCAAATTGATTAAGACTTGACTTGAAATAGAATTAATTGGATCTCGGTATATCTGTCATCCTTCCAAAATCTTTCCTCCTTATTTTCTTCTCCTGTAGCATGCCGGCATACCGTTTGGAGGGAGGAGAGGTCCGTTTGCCTTTTATTACGTCTACCGCTGAAGCAGGAAACAGGAGAAAGCAGAAATGGCTGGAAATTCCGTCTCCAACAATTTGGGACCTTCAGGTTATGTTAGGTTCTCTTTCGTTGGACTATTCTTTAATCTTCATTATTTCACTTGTGAGATATTGCGGCAAATGCCCCCGATATGGGTTTCATCCGCTGAAGGCCAAGGGGACCTTCCTAGACCTATTTCGTATAATTGAATGCAGTTGAATAAATGATTTTATTTCCCAGAACTGTCATCATTTCTTTTTATTCGTATTTTGAGGTTCAGGCTTGGCTTGTTGTTTTCGTCAGCTTTATTCTGAGCTAGCGTTCGGTATCCTTACCTTGTATTTTTTTTAATGGAAATAAAACGATGCAAAAAGAAAGTCAGAGCTCAAAGGGTACATTTTTTATTTTTCTTTGAGAAAACCTCACAATATATTCTCTAAGACTTGACTAAAGGTCGCATGTGGATGCTCCAAATGATGAATTACAACGTTAGGGTGAGAGCTTAACTTGCTAAGCAGTCAGCGGGTTTACTACCTTCACGAAAAGATGTTGAAACTCTACCTTACAATTGCTGCTCAAAACTCCTTGATCCGTTATATTAGCGTCTATTAAGTTTTCTTTCTGCAACCATTGTCATTTCTTTTGTATTACAAATTTTGCAATTGCGTTTGCTGTAATGGTGGAAAATTTTCAGGACCCGTGAATGGCGAGAAGTTGAGTTGGGCTGTTTCCCCTTCCACTGCTTTCAACCACTTTGGTGCCAGTGGAGTTTCCGTCGCAGTAGCAACTGCAATTACTCATCCTCTAGGTTTTTCTCTCTTTCTCTTCCCCTTTTACTAACTTGGATTTTGGTTTACAGAACCTCAGTTTGGGTAATGTACACGCATGCTTGTTCATGATTGAAACTCATCAGCTGTTTGCCTATTTTGTCAAGGCACGTGCAAGTCGAAGGATTACCATTTCTTGTACAGGAATAAAGAGTTCAGACGCATTTCATTGATTTATGTCATTTTGCATTTGATGCCACAAATTTTATTTTAAAGAATAAATTGGATGCTCAATACTTTGTAGCGTCAACAGAGAACGCAGTTCATTGATAGATGATGCATGACAAAGTGAAAGAAGAAAGAGAAGCTGAGGATGGTGCCTAAGGGGAAGGGACACTTTTCAGGATTAAACCATGTATTAATAAGCTACTTAGAAATGATAGATTTACTAAAATTAGATCCTGAAATAGAATTTACTCGTGGTAGTTGTAAATATTATTAACTTATATATATATATATATATGTAGCACATGAAAAGCACAGGCAACCTTTCCTGGGTTTAGTGTAGCTGAAAGAAAGAAAATATTGTTGTAGGTTGAATTTGACAAGGAATAGATATTACATTCTCAAGATTGTTGGACCTGTTCTGCTCACATTGTAAGGATTGATGCTGTTCTTGTGTTTAGATTTTCATCCAGAGGAAAGTTTTTATTTATTATGAAACTGTACGTTTATAGTCAGCTAGGTATATTAGTTAGAGCAAATGAAAATTTGTGCTCTGTTTCTAAGGAGTCATCTATGCTTTGGATCAAAGATTTGATATGAATGCTAAAGGAGAAGATTCACTGGTGTATATTAGTTTTGGATTTTTTGGATGTAGTTTTCGGGTTGACAATTTTGACAGTAGAAGTTACGCCAGAAATTTTGTTAAGCTTTTGAAAATATGTTAACTTTTAAGTTGGTGAATGTTACCTATCATTGGGCTATACTAAGAAGAAATCGAATGTTCTTATTGAAAAGGGAAAAAACAAAGAAAGAAATTGAATTTTTAGGTTTTGGAAATACAAAAAACAAATCATTAAAAAAATTTTTTTACCTTTGTTCTACATCCTTTGCAGATGTACTGAAAGTCAGGCTGCAAATGCAACTAATTGGCCAGAGAGGTCCTTTGAGTGGAATGGTATTTTGCTTTCTTAAATCAGTCCTCGAAATGTACTTACTTGTCATATGTATTACAGAATTTCTATTTAAATAATTTATTCAGGGGCAACTGTTTTTGCGAGTATTGAAAAATGAAGGACCAAGGTCTTTGTATCTGGGTTTGACACCTTCATTAACAAGGTCAGTTGTTTATGGAGGCCTCCGCTTGGGCTTGTATGAACCCTCTAAGCATGCCTGTGATCTTGCTTTTGGCTCCACCAATGTTTTAGTTAAAATTGCATCTGGAGCATTTTCTGGTGCTTTTGCAACCGCACTGACCAATCCAATGGAAGTTCTGAAGGTAAAGTAGTGTAATATTCCATTTTCATTCAAACATTTGTTTTTCTATATTCTGTTTTTCTTCAAGATCATATTCCCACAATCAGGTGCGTTTGCAAATGAATCCAGACAAGAGAAAGGGAGGACCTCTTCTAGAGCTTCGGAGGACTATATCTGAGGAGGGAATCAAAGGCCTTTGGAAGGGAGTGGGCCCTGCTATGGTCAGAGCAGCTTCCTTGACTGCATCACAGCTGGCTGCATATGACGAAACCAAGCAAGTAAAATTATGATCAAACTACTACTTATATACTATTGCTACTTGGCTGTCTCTTAAAGCGTGAATTGTATTATGTCATTCCATGACCACTTGATATACACTATCTATCCTATCATTTTCCCCCATGTTATCCAGTTTCCTTTTCATTGATGCAGATCTTAATCAAGCGGACACCTCTTGAAGAAGGATTTCATCTGCACCTGTTGTATGACTCTCTTTTCGATTCTATTTCTTCTTGCAATCTTTTCTCCCGTTAGTGCGCTAACTGAATAGCGATAATCATATACTGTTAAAGCTGAAATTGACTAAATTCTTGACTGAAAAGAAAGTTTAGGAGCTTGAAGGAAAAGTAATATAAAAAAATATTTTTGATATGATAAAATTTCATTATAATGTTATATTTAGGCTTAATTATTCTTTCTTCTCTAGAGGGGTACACCGAATACATTTTCTTCCTTTCAGTTTTGAAAAATAACACTCCTCTACCTGAAATCAAAAAATGAACTGTACACTGACGTCTCTTACAACATAAGTAACCTACAATTACACATTTTCTTTTATTACATCGCCTTTATATTTATTACTTAGTTAATGTAACAAGTATTAAACACGAATTTACTCAGAAATTGGTGAACTAAAACACTTGGTGCGTGTTCAGAATACATTTGTATGAATTCAAATTAGTGCCCCTGATTTAATATTTATCGAATCTGGTCTTAAATTTATTTTGATATAAATGAAAACTAATTACACTCTGTACCTTATGAAGCTCAAGTACTGTGGCAGGGATAGTGAGCACCCTAATAACTACTCCTATGGATATGATCAAAACTCGTCTCATGTTGCAACGAGGATTCAAAACTGCTGGGGGCTATAAAAACGGATTTCATTGCGCATACCAGGTATGGCATTTTTCTCTCTGTCCTCAAACTAGCAGCATTTGAATTTGAATTTAACTGGCTCCACGTTATGTTTTTTACTTTATTAAAATCAGATACAGAAGAATGAAGCGATGAACTTACTCAAAATATAAGCATATTTTTTTTTTTTTTTGTGCACACTAATTACGAACGTCATTCTCTTTCCGTGCCTGCAATGTCATAATCCCTTGTGCTATGCATTTATGATGTGTGGTTTCAGGTCCTGCTCACAGAAGGCCCAAGAGCACTGTATAAAGGGTGAGGTTACATTCAATCTATAGATGTAATATTATATGCTGACTCTTTCAGATAACTGCTCAAACACCTCCATTGCCACTTTATGGAGAAGTAATATTACCTATCACGCGCGACCTATGAACTTGGAACCATCTCCTTTTTTTTGGGGGGGGGGTTGGTTGGGGAATTTCTTCATGACTTCATGCATATCAAGTTTGTTTACAAGATATGTTTGTCAGGGGATTTGCGATATTCGCAAGACTAGGGCCACAAACCACACTTAGCTTAATGTTATGCGAGGAGCTACGGAAGCTTGCTGGATTGAAGGCAATCTAGCAACCAGGTTGCCTCTGATGATTTTTGAAGTGCCAAAGCAGACGAGTCCCAGTTCGGGAAGATTATTTTAGTTAGTTATTCTCTTTAGTTTCACACCTAATATTCGCAATTCATAAAGAGCCCCTCAATTCAATTTTATCATATTGTCTCCATGTTCCCCATTTCGGGGGGTATAGTCCTGCTCCTGCCCAATCAGAGTAGGACCGTGTTCATTGTATAAGGGGAAAAGGAGGTACAAATATAATATATGGTGATTTTGGATTACCCACCCAGGAAAAAAGGGTTTGGTTTTTTTTTTTTTTTGGTGGGGTTGGTGTTGTTGTCACGATTACCACTTTGGTGGATCTCATGAAGAATTATGCAATGAATCAAATTTTGCTATCCAACTCTTTGCATAACATTTAATTTGATGTTTATAAATAGTTGGTGGATGAGTGATTGGATGAGGAAATAACTTGTTGTAAGGAGAGAGAGAGATTGATTTCAGGTCATGTAAAGTTTTTATCATCACACAAGTATTGCATGAAAAAGACAACCCGAAAAAATAAACCATGGCAATAATAATAATAATAATAATAATAATAATAATAATAATAATACGGTGGAATTAAAATCGAGTAGGACTGACAATTTTAAATCAAATGTAAAATTTCTTGAGCAAAATAGACTAGTACAGTTTGATTTAGTTTTGAATTAGAATCAAAAGAAAGCCAAACTTGAATACACCCGCAATTTAATGTAAAGATGATGATGTTATTGGATCATATTGTAAATGGCTGTGTTCTTGACCCAACAAGTAAATGTTGGAGAAACTGGGAGGATCTTGAGTTTTGACATAAAAGTATTAGGTACAACCAACTTCCGCCATTTGAAGGTTGAGGAAGTTTCTGCCGTCAGGATTCAGCCGTAGTGATTCCACAATGATGCTTTCCTCTTTCCGTTACGTTACGTCTATCTAAATCCAATCCCCTCAGACCTGAAATTACCAAAAACCCCAATAATTTATTCATCCCCCTCTCTTTAATCACGCTCCTGCTTAATCCTCCTCCTCCTCATCATCATTATAATCTCTTCTCCGCCCGTTGAGACCTCATTATATCTATATTGGTAGTGCCTTTTTTTTTATACCTTGAACAATCGCCCAAAATAGGACAAGCACATTCGATCTTCCTGCGCCTCTTTAATTATGCGGTTGCTATTGAGGACATCTTGAATACCAAGCTATTTATGCTTTAACAATTTCATTCCCCCCCCCCCCCGGGTCAGGTGCTTTAACAATTTATTTAACAAAGACCATTCTTGGTGTCGTGATGGAAAAAGGAAGGTCTAGGAAAATTGTGCCCTGCATAATTATAATTGTATTTTTGTAGTTTTTTATTTTTTAAAATAGATGCATAGAGATCATTTTATCTATAAAATCATTTTTTATTCCACTATTTGTTTCAATTCATTCCATTCTGCTTATTGGATGAGTCTTAAAATAATTGGAAAAATTAATAAAAGTGGGAAAAAAAAATCCAGCTTCAACCTTCGTTTTCAAGAGATGGTCCAAGAGTCTAGATTCTCTCTATTTAAAGATAAAAGGCTCTTCCTATTTAAAGATAAAAGACTCTTCCTACAAAAAAAAAAGATAAAGGATAAAAGATTCTAGTCTTTATCATCCAATTATTGTTTTAAGACTTTGAATTTCTTTAATATTTTCTATGTAGAATCCACTTCGCCCATGCTTTCGGCTAAACAGTAAACACTATACACAATGTAATCGGTTCATTCCTCACAAAAGTCCAACTTGAACATGCATTTGCACCCAATTGCAATGACAGATATGATTACGGTTTTAGAACTCAACTAGTTTTGTAATTGTGCAATCTTTCCACAGGCTAACCTGAAAGAAATTAACAGGTATGTGTCCGTTTTAACTAAACATGACTAATGTTATATCTTTTATATTAAGTACACCTATGCCTCATTTAGTATTCTGAAAATTTTTTTGATGAAAATAAAATTAAAAATAAAAATGAGTTTTGAAAGTATATTTGATATGTATATAAAATTATAATATATTTTTTATTTAATATATATATTTATATAATTAATATACTAAAATATTCCTGTCAATTTTTTTAATTATGATATAATTTTTATTTAATATATATATTTATATAATCAATTTACTAAAATACCCCTATCTATTTTTTAAATTATGATATATTTTTTATTTAATATATGCATTTATATAATCAATTTATTAAAATACCCCTATCTATTTTTTTAATTATGATATACTTTTTTATTTAATATGTGCATCTATATAATCAATTTACTAAAATGCCCCTATCAATTTTTTAATTATGATATATTTTTTATTTAATATATGCACTTATATAATCAATTTACTAAAATACCCCTATCTATTTTTTTTAATTATGATATACTTTTCTATTTAATATATGTACCAATATAATCAATTTACTAAAATACCCCTGTAATTTTTTAATTATGATATATTTTTTATTTAATATATACATTTATATAATCAATTCACTAAAAAGCTTTCAATTTACTTCAATGATTGATAAAGAGGCAAATCTGTCAAACAATTTCATAACTAATGTTACTTTTGTCCAAAAAAATCACTTTCATGGAACCCATCTCATTTTCATGGGCCTTATTAGCAAACTTAATTTAACTTATTTTGATGGATTTCATTTCAATATGGAAATTCACTTTATGCATACCAAACAAAAAAAAATGTGAATTGCAATTTTATTTTCATTTTCATGTTTCTATTTCCAACATACCAAATGGGACATTAAGAAAAATATATTATGCTAAAATAACTTAAGCCTTTTAATTAGATATTTTTTAAATTTATATATTTATTATTTATCTTCTAATATTTAGATGTGAGACTTTTTTATATTTTAATATTTCCTCCACTACTTTTTTTTCTCTTTTTTTCATTTTCTTCTTCTTCAGTTTTTTATTTTTTTTTCATTTTCTCCTTCTTCAGTTTTTTTTTTTGCATTTTCTTCTTCTTCTTACCTGAACTTATATTTTTTTTAGTCTCAAAGCTCTCAAGTCTATTTAATTTCTTCTCCTTCTCTTTTTCTTTTTTAATCTCTTGTTTTTTGTCATATTTCATTCTTTCTTTCTTTTTTAATGTTTTCTCTCTTTTTTGTTTTTTTTTTGGTCCTCGATCGAATGACTCATGATACTATGTTAAATTTTTATATTAAGTTCATCTAAAAATAGTATATTTCATTAAAATAACTTAAAAATCTTTTAGTTAGATACTTTTTAAGTTTATATTTTTATCATCTATCTTTTAATGTTTAAATGTAAGACTTTTTTTATATTCTAATAACTAATACATATAACTTTTACAACAGTACTACTCAATCTTCAATTTTTTTAACTATATGTTTCCCAAATCAATTAAAGCCTTATATTTTGGTTACTACATCATATTGAACAAGTATTTTTTTAGTAGTTTAATCGAAGTTGGTAATTCAAGCGAGCCGGGCTTATTTAGGCCAGCTTAAAATATCATATCCTCTTAAAAAAGTTCGTATAGCCAAACTCAACTTTAATTTTTTTCGGCAGGTTTGGGCTAACTTGTCAAGCTTGGCCAAAATTATTAATTCTATATACATATAGAGTTATAAATTCTAGTTGTCAGGCTCAATTTGGGCCGGACTTAAAATATCCTCCCTTTCTTAAATAACACATATAGATAAATCTGACCTCAACTTTTTTCGGGTCAGTTTGAGCATGGCTCGAATTTTCAACTCTAAATCTAATTATATCTAAATGTAAGAATGATTCAAGCATTGAGCTGGCATCTTGTCATGGAGACAACGTTAAGGGTTTAATTGTCCCATTCTCCTGTCAGTTTTGCTATCTAATGGCAACATCGTTATCCTAAAACTACATTGAGGTAGCCATACATTGTTCAGTTTTATCCCATTAATTGTTTATATGTTGAATTAACATGTCTGATAACTAGTGAGGACTGGATCCAGCAGAAAAGACTTGTTTTTCATAACATGATAAATTAAAATTTAAACCCCAATTAAAGAAGTTGCTCACGTTTAATACTAACTGTGTCTCAGACATAATTATTTTCAATAAGAAAATATTCATACGTAATAAAAAGGAAAGAACATGTTCGTTAGATAGTAAAAATGTATAATCTAATTTTAAACAAATATTTAGCTTTTGATTCCGAAACTATGGTCCGGTAATAATAGATTGTTCATTTTGTCTTGTTTGATGCGTCACTAAACTGTAATATTGAAATCCCGTGCTCCTAGTTTTGTTATAGTTAGATGGGAGTATCCTGTGTGATATAAAATCTGGCAAGTGAATCATATAGATGACAGCTAACAGCTAATTAGAGTTTTAATATTTTATATATCTAATTATTGATATTAAATTTTCTGTGACTACTTATAAATTTTTTTTAGGATATTGACCCCAAACAGAAAAAGAGTGCCCTTTGACTCCTCACGCAAGGCACGAACGTTAAAAAAAAAATAACAAAAAAAAAAGTATAAACCGGTAATTGGTTTGATGTAAGAATAAAGTCGGTGAGTGTGGCTTGACTGAAATGAAAGGGCGATCAAAAGAAGTGGGGCCTACTAGATTCTGAGGTGGGTCCGCAATGCAAAACCCTTCCGAAATACATCATGCATATTATGAAATTTCAATTCCTTTCTAAATCTGATGAAAAGTTACTTTAGTTTTTCAATTTTGAATTTACCCGCAGCTAATACTCGCAAATATATGCAGTTTTCCATGTATTATTATTCATCTTACATGAACCAGCACAAGAATAAAAATGTAAAGATTTTTTTTTTCAAACTACAAAATATCTTACATTTTAGACTAACAATAACTTATGAAAAACATCTTACATTATGAACTAGAGGGAGTATATGGGAAATCACTAAACATAAAAAAAAAAAAGTAAGTATGCTTGAATGTTTATTGGAGTTTGAATGGACCGAAAGAAAAGAAAAGGCTTGTCCTTTTTGTTGAAAGGGAATTCCCTTGTTCTTGTCTTAGAAAAAAGGTGATGAGGCGTTTGTCATTTTTGCATTATGGGAGCTCTCATCCTGTGCTCATCCACTCCACTTCCATGCTTTGCTCCCTCAAAAAACAGAATCCTTCCTTAATCACGTTCACATCATATTTTGCTTTTAAAAACCTACTTGGTATCAAATGAAACAACGAAAGGATATGAAAATGAGAATTTTTTTAAATAAATATGTAAGTATTTTTGGGAAAAATATAGCTGCTAATCCTTACCATTTCACTTAATTTTAAATCAGACTTTTACAGTATATATATATATATATATATATTTTGGGAGATGC